CAACCCTTTCCAGCAATGCAGCAGCACACCAGCCCATGCAAAAAGGTCAGAGGGGCTTCCTTGACAAATAAAGAGCAAAAATACCTCATGAAAGGCCTAGGGAAAGCCAGCTTGTGTTTTTAAAGAGAAGGTGGAAAGAGAAGGGGCTGGAGTGGTTCTTTCCCTGCCCCAGCTCCTTGATACATTGGATGGATCCAGATTTGCAGATCCAAGGTCCCTTCTGCTGCTGCTGCTGGCAGAACACGTGAGCCTGCTCCCCCTGTGGAACAGGGCTGTGGGCTCCTGGAATTCAGCACAGCTCTTTCTTTTCTCTCTGCCTTCCTAATTATCATCTCTGCATCTGCTAATTGTCAGGTTTGAATCAAATCTTGGCGGTTTGTGCGTGGAGAAATTTCCACTTATGGAAGAGGGAGAAAAACCCCAGTCCTACTGACAAGCTCTGTCAGGGGCCCTTTGAGGACCTTGGAGATGTTCCACACCACCAAACACCACCTCCATCACCTGGGAAGCTTTCTGGGGGTTGCATAGCTAATGCCTAATGCTTCCCACTGATCCTTTGTGTAAGAAAAGTAACAAAGTAGCCTGATTAACCAGGATTGAAGGAATTAAGGCTGTGTTTGTGGAGATAGTGATCAATGAGGTCCCTTTTAACACACTTGTTACTCTGGGCTTCCTTTGATTGGCATTTCAGGAGCTACACACCATAAATTACCTTGATGGATTCCCCTGTGCACCTGAATTTAAAAGAGATGAGGCAGAGGGTTATTTTAGTTAATATTCCAGTGTGCGGCTTGCCAGGTGCTGTGCAGCTCCTGCCTTGACTCACAACCTCTGTTCTTTCACTCCTCAAGTCCTGTCCCACAGAAATAGCTCTGCAGCTGCCCTTGAACCTGCCTCTGGGCTTTCTGGAGCTCCCAAATCCCCTGACCCACAAGTCCCTTTCCTTAAACAGTTTGTGCCTTGAGGAGGGAGCAAGTGCTGTGAGGCTGAGGCAGATTAATTACTGACACAAACTCTTGGCAGGACCTTGCAGCTACTCCCAGGTGCTCAGCTGGGGCTGCTGGCTTGTAGAATTAGCTACAGAACTGTTCCTGGGTGCATGTGGGTCCATGGGAGAAATTCTGGTGCCCCCCACTGCAGCCCATTAGCTCAGTGAAGTGAGAGGCTGCCTTCCTTGGATTAGAAAGCACTTGAGGATGTCATTCACTCAGGCAGATTTCCCAGCTGACTGAGCATTCTTATTCCACTAATTACAAATCAAGAGGGTGGTGTGTGCATTGGCTCCCAGACAGGAGGAGCTCTCCTCCCTAATGGTGGAGCTGGCTGGACTGGGAGAAGCAGGAAGGATCCTGGCCATTATTATCCTCTCCTCTTCCATCAGCTGGAACAAAGTAAAACTCACTCTGGTGAATCCTGCAAAGTTTGGAGCTCAGATGCTGCAGGCTGGTGCTCTCTACATTGCTGGGCCCAAGTCCAGCAGGTGAATGCAGGTGAATTCTGCATAATCTTTCTTAATGGATGCTCCTCTGTTGGGTTAACAAGATATTTAATACTCTGCTTGTTTGATTTGTTATATATTGGTGATTTGTTAATAATGTACAGATGTAAGCTTGTTGTAGAGGGAGGACCCTGGTTACTCATTCTAGCATTAATTCTCCTATTTAAATATAGGTTAATCTGTCAATGGGGAGGAAGTCATAAAGTTCTTATATTTTTGTAGTGTGGAGCTTTAACACAATCTTTGTTGATGACTGCTTGAATGTAGATGGATTCTGTCAGCACTGGGGCTCACTCAGAGCCAGGACCCCCACTCACTCTGCCTGCTGCTGTGGAATATTCACCAGAACAGCCCAGCAGCCCACAGGAAGGGAACAGCTAACCTGAACATTTGGTAGCTTTTGACCAATGTTGTCTTATCCAAACTGCTCTCAGATGCTGTGGGAGGGAGAAAACAGAGGAGAAGTTGCTGTTTTAAGTTTCCCGGTACTGAATGCTGGTGGGTTTTGGGATGTGGAGTGGAAACCACACAGCCCAAGCAGCTTCAGGGCTTCCTGCAGTGTAGGGCTGTTCTGGATCACACAGCTTGGCTTGTTGTGAGTATTGCTGGTTTGGGGGAAATTACAGCATCTCTTTTCTCATTTTGAGTGTCCCTGGGTCTGTGTTTCCCTGCTTGGCTGAGGCAGGCTGCATTTCCAGAGGCTCCATGTCCCAGTGCCAGGCACTGGGAGCAGCAGAACATCTGCCTGTGCCCGTGCCCTGCGGCGCTTCCTCCCGTGCAGAGCTGTTCTGCTCCTCCTTCCTGTCACCAAAAGCACAACTCCCCTGGCTGTTTGTCTGTGACCTGTTTACACCAAGCAGCCCCTCCTGAAGCAGGCTGGCCCTGGCAGAGGCTGAGATCAGCTGTACACGTGCAGTCACAGCTCCAGCTGGAGCCTCCCGAGCACTGTGCCAGGGAAGAGCTCCCACTGCCCGCCCTGGCACCACAGCCTGGTGCCTGCCTTGGTGCTGGCCCAGTTCTGGCAGCAAACTGCTGCTGGGGTGTGTAATGCATGTGACTGAGTGTGCTCCAGGGACTGGGGGTCTCCCCCAGCCTGAGGGAAGGCCAGGAGCTGCACTGATGGCTAAGCCAGTCCCCCAGCCCTGGTACCAGCTGTGCAGCATGAGGAGCTGTGTGTGTAACAGCAGAGTCCTGGGGCTCTGAGCTGCTCCTTTTGTTGTGCCTTTCTGCCAGGACAAGGCTAACACAGTAACCATTTCTGAGAATGATGCCTTAAGCTTTAGCTTTTTTATTTTTCACATCCTGCATAATGCACTGCATTAGTGTGAAGCTCTGAACTCCATACAGAGTGTTGGGAAGCTCTCTTCAGTTTGGTCAGACAGAACAATCCTTCCAGGCCTGAGAGCCAAGGACACCATCACAGCCCCAAAACATATAAACTTTTTTTTTTTTTTTTTTTAATTAGGGGGAAGCAAACTGAGGGAATGTGAATGTGAATTACCTGAAGATGTAATTGAGGAATGAACCTCTGATATGCAAATAGACCAAACTTATATCAGCCCAAAGAACTCGTGACCATTGTACATCTTGGGTGTAGCCTCTGCCAGGCTCCTGCACTGCTTAAAGTGTGCCTGTTAAAGGCCTTTAATAAATACTCACTTTTTTATTTTAACTCTCTCTGCCCTTTGCTCTAGGTAGCCATCTGCTCTAGGTAGACACCAAGTTCCTCCTTTCATTAACCACTGAGCTGCTGGGTCAGCCTCAGCTTCCATGAGGGTGGCTCCAGCAGCCAGGGCTTGGAATGGCCTGGCCCTTGCACGCACCTTAACATCATGAATAGCCCTTATTACCTGGGTCTCTGCTGGTTTTCTTCAGCTAATTCACTGTTAGGCTTTGCCTCGGCCTTCCTGTGATCCCTGTAAACTTCACCAAACGTGACAACATCTGAATCCTTCCAGAGACCGTGGCACAGGCAGTGTGGTGACATTTAGAGCTCTTGTTACAGGAGCAGGTTCAGCTGAGGTCTTTGGGAATCTTCTGCTCTGCTGCTGACAGGCTCTGTCCACAGCCACACTGCATGGGTGACTCTCCTGCTTGATGGAGAGGAGCCTGAGATGGCTGTTTTGAGAGAAATACACTCAGAGTCCAGGTCTGGTAGGTCCTGAGAGCACCAGAGCTCACTCTTCCCTGGGGGTTTTGGGGATTTATTCTCCTAAAGGCCTTTGCACCCGATGCTCAGCAGCGTCTTGGTGCCAGAAGGCTGCTGATGTAAACTGAGCTCAGTTTACCAAGCTGTGATGAGACCAGGGTCTCCTCTGAGTTGCTGAGGAGAGTGTTTGGAACAAAGACCTGCTATCACATATTGCATGAAACATGAACAGAGGGCATTTTCCAAACGCTTCAGCTGCCGTTGTCAACCCCAGCAATTTTTAGTGTGAACCTCCTGATATCTGGCCTTGTTTCAAGTTCTAGGTTTTGGCTCCCTGCCACTCGATTCCTTCTGAATAAAATTTGAGTTCACAGCTTTGTGGGTGCAGAGAAAAACTCAGAAGGACCCTGGATCAGAAAAAAGACAAGCACAAACAGGGACTCTCAAAGGCAGCCTCCGTAAGCACTTGATTTAGGTGTTAGGTATCTAAATTGTTTCAGAATATTTGGAGTTGACAAGCATGTGCAACGTTAGAAATAGAAATGCTGAGGCATCGAAAACCTTATGACTCCACAGGGGGATCTTTGAACTGATGCTGCTGTTGTAGCTGCAGAACAGAAAACAGGGAGCATGTGAACAGGTCTTTCTCTCCAGGTTTATTTTTGCTCTTGCCAAGGGACTGCAGGACAAATACAGTCTCTTTCAGGCTCATTAGCTTTTATGAATTTGTTCCACTGCCAGCACATAGCTTTTGAATTTCGAGACAGCTCCCCCTGCTAAAAGAGCTCTGGTACTTCTGCATGGAGTTGGACCTGGCTTCTGGAGATTTGGATGGCACGTTTTGTCATAGAAACAAGACTCCAGCTCTCTGCTTTACCAGGATCTGCCTAGACACAGCCCTTGAGCTCTGCAGTGCCTTGCAGGAAGGGGTTTTTAGCTCTGTGAGGTGTTGTCTGGTATGCATGTTGACCATCTGTGTGAAATGAAGATTTACAGCCATCCTGATGGTCATTGCTGGGTTTCCTTGGGCTTGTCTAAGTTATTGGTAAACCCTCAGATACACTGGAAGCCTCAGCTAAGGCAACAAAGATTGTGGTCTTGTGTAGAAACACTGCAGGCATCCCTTGGGATTATATATCAGTGGATACATTGATCAGTTCCTCTCAGGGAGTGTGCAAAGGTGAGGGGAAAAAAAATATCTTTTCCACTAGTGCATGTTTGGTTGTGGATTGTGAGTGATTTTAGGTGAGCTACTGGATGGCTGTGCCTTAAGCCCATCACCTTCCCACCAGCACAGCCTGCAGTGCCCCAGCTGCTTCTGAAAATGATCATTTTTCTCTTTTACTTTGCCAGGCTGCTTCTTCAGTTACCTGAACTTCTGGTGGCAGGAGCCACCTTCATATTTGTCTTGTCAGGATTTAGTCCCAGCATTATCAGGTGCGTGGAATTTATGGATGAAGTGACAATCTGCATAACACGTGGGATGCAAAGCAAAAGCTCTCTCCATTTTCTGAGGTTTAGAGGGGGAGTTACAGCAGCAAGAACAGGTTTTGCTGTGTGGCTGAAAGGAGCATGTCCTGTACCCCCTTGCCACGAGGAAAAAGTGTGTGGGAAAAGTCTGTTCTTGTGGGGACCAGCAGGTTGTATTCACCTGGTTTGCGCTGTGCTGGGTAAAACAGCTCTTGGGACAGCACAGCATTTTAGGTGGCTTTTGTCCCCTCAAGGGCTTCACCATGGACATGGAGGGGCAGCAGATGCCTTCCCAAGGGGAAGGACACGGTGCCATGGTGGGGGACTCTGCTCCTGCCCGAAGGAGAGCTCCAGCTCCGTGCCGGTTGGTGCGGGTGGCTCCAAGCCACCAGCTTTTGGATGCTGCCTCTTTGGATGGATGTTAGGCTTAGCTGAGGGGTGAGACCGCGGTGGTGCCACAGATGGCAGAGAGCAGCCCCAGCCGGGAGGCTGGCACAGCCCGTGACCCCGCGGCTGCCCGGGGAGGAGGGAGCGCGGCTGATTTATGGCAGGAGGAGCCGGGGGTCTCTCCGAGTGGAGCCGGAGGCGAGTTGCCATGGAGATGGGCTAATAAAGCACCGCGGCTGCCGGCTCTGACGCTGCTCCGGCTGCAAAGAGCGGGCGGGCGGGGAGAAGGGGCAGCTGCCACGTGGGGATGGAGAGAGAAAAGGTGACACCAGGAGAGTGGGACAGGAGTTTGGTCTGTAAGGCTGTCCAGCTGTCCCTGGGTGCGTTAAGGGTAGAAGGGAGAAAAGAGCCCTCCTCTCCTTCCTCTCCCTGCTTCCCTTCTCTTTGGGAAGCAGGACATCATCATGGTGCTCCTCGGCGGTGAGGGACCAGCAGCTTCCAGGGAAAGGCAGTGTGTCTTTGTTCCCTGCAGGCTGGCTGCTGTGCCTGCAGCAGGGGAGGGCTCCAAAGTGGATGGCAGCTTGCAGGGACCCCCTCACACAGGACTGGCACAAAGGACTCTGCTGTGCCCAGCGCTGGGTCCTGTTTTCTCCGATGGCCAGGGAGAACAGGACATTTGTAACTGCGCTGCCCTCCCTGTGCCGAGCACCTTTGGTCCTTGGAGGGCTCTGTGCCTCCCAGTGGCCCTGGGGGAGGTGGGGAAGGTGTTGCTGGGATTTGTCCCTCCCAGCACGCTGCCCTCCTGCCTTTCATCCTGGACAAGGTCAGCTGTGCCCTGGCTCAGCCCTTCCCTGGATGCTGATTTGGGTGGAGGGTGGGAGGAATGGGGATGGCCTGGACTTGTCCCCAAGAGCTGTGTGTCCTGGAGGTTTGCTGAACATCCCTAATCTCCTGCTCCTGCCTGCACCTGCAGGATGGACCCTCCTGCTTGGCTGCTGAAGGGCTCAAATCTGCAATTCCATTTTGTTCAAGGGCATTGCAGCACCGACCTAAAAGAAAGCAGACTTTTATTCTGGCTTGTTGAGCAGGTTGATGGGAGGGAAAGTCTTTGTTAATTATTAGCAAGGTATTCCCATGCTGCTGTACTTCCATTTTGAGAGATTACTCTTCAATAATGTGGTGACAGCCACATTTTAACCTTGATCACCATAAGAAAGGTTCTGCCTCAAAGCCATGAGCTCCTGGACTGTGCCAGAGTTCAGGGAGGTGTTCCAGCAGGTAAAGGCAGAGACAGGGAGGTTAGATAGTTTAAAAAAGAAATTAAAAGCCTTATGATGGAGAGATGCATTAAAAGATAATTGCTTACAGGTTTCACAAGATGTTTTTACGTCTCTTAAATTGATGAATGTATCCACAGAGACTGATACTCTTAATGGAGGGTTACCTTTACTTCTGAATAGAGCAGAGATCAAAGCAATTACAACTAGATATTGATAACACTACCCATACCCCCCAGAGAAAAGGTTGTCTAAAATTGGACTTCTTAAGCTACCTAATGCCTGCTTCCCTGGCCAAAGCCTCTTTCTTCCATCCTGACAGCATCCCCTGTTGTCCAAACCCCTCCTGTGCTACTGCTGGATAGCCCTTATGTCTTTAATTCCATCATCATGCGCTGTCCAGATGGTGGGAGCACTCTCTTCTCTTATGGGTCAGTTGGTTTTCAGCACTGGCTGGGATAAAGGAAGATTTCTTCAGCTTCCCTTGATGTCTCTGCAGGGCTAACAGGTGAGGTGAGCAAATCAGGAGGGGCATGAAGATTTTTGGGATCTCTGGCATCACCTCTGTACTCCAGGAGGGCTTTGACTGGTGGATATTTTGATTAATGGCTTGGCAGCTGGAAGCAGACCTTGCTGTGGTGCACCATGCCTGCTCTGCCAAGGACTTGCATGAGCTGATTATGGTGTGGATCAACACATCTGGAGGGGCAGAAAGGGTTACAGAATGTACATCCACAGAGCTCCTAATTTGGGAGGTGTTCCTTTCTTAGGTGCTGCACCTCCTGCTCTGCTCTCAGCAGCTCAGTGTTCATGTGGTGCTCTCTTTTCTGTCTGACTCCAATTAGTCTCTTCCCCACCTTTGTGAGAACCTGTGCTGTGGCTACAAGGGGAGGGATTCAACTGGATTTTTAAGTTCTTGGAAAAGATCTTCCAGTGAAGGGCCATGCACCCAAGACTCACTCAGGCTGCTGGCAGTGTCAGAGACATCTGAGTGGGGAGGCAGCATTTGGTGAAGGCATCTCAGGGCAGAGCAAGAGATGTTGCTCCTGGGGAACTGGGTGTGACTGTTGCTTGTGGAAGAAGAGGCCTCAGGAGAAGCATGGTTTTCATTGCCTCTGACTGTTGTTAAATGTGTAAATCTTGGAATGTTCTTCAATACGAGCCATTTAAAATCCTGAGTCACTTCTGTCTCCGGATATGCCTGTCTCACTGATTCTGTTTCATGCCTCTTCTCAAATCCAAGGCAGCTCATGCCAGCAGCTGAATCAGTTTGGAAAAGAGGAAGAACAAGTGTGAGGGTGATTTCTGCTCTCAGTCTCAGGGTTATCAATGTCCTTGAGCAGGCCATGTCCCCTGTCTGGGCATGGCCATCCTGGTGTATTTTCCATTGGAGCAACCCCTCCCAGGGGGAAGATGGTGGGCCAGACCCTTGGGGCTCTTAGCTGAGGGAATGGCTGTGCCTTGGGACTCCCTCTGGGCTCTTCCCTGTTCCCTTGCCAACACTCTTTTGTTCACAGGCATATAAATGAGGAACAGGAGACATGGCTTGGAGGAAACATGGATGCAAGCAGGAATTCTGTGTGAAGAGCTAAGGCCAAATTGTGTTGCTCCCAGAGCTCTTCCTTAGCTGGCCATGCCCTGAGTAGGACACTGGATTAGCTGCTGGTGTCCTGAAATCTCTTCCAGTTCAAGTTTTCCTATGATCCTACGATTTGTCCTAGTTTTGGAGACCAGCAAAAAGCTCCTCTGCCAGCGTGCACACACAGCTGTCTTCTTGAGTGATGCTTTATGTTATGGCAGGAGGAGTTCAATGCAGAAACAGACTTTTTTTTTTTTAAATGGCAACAGCCCTGCACCATGTACTGGGTGCTGTCATTCATGTGTGAACAGCCTGAGGACAATTAAAATGTTGGCTGTCCACATGAGATCTCTCAACTTAGGTCTCTGCTGCTCAGGCAAAATATTTTTCAGAGGACAGAAAATAACAACTTGAAGGTCTTGCTGCTAGGGCAAAATTGTCCTGTGAGTATTTAATCTCCATTGTCTGGGGTTGGATGTGATGTTGAGGGCTGGAGAAACTTATCTTGATTAGGGTTTGTGGCAGTTCAGAGTTCCTGTAAGTGAGCCAAGCATTGCAGTAACAGTAAAGATGCTCTGGTCTAAAATATGGCAGATTTGATTGTGAGGGCAGTGAACAGTTTTTGTTCGAGATGTTGGTCTTCAGATCTTGTGAGCTCCTCAGCTCTTGCCTGTGGACCCTGCCCAGCAGAGGAAAGCAAAACTCTACTGGCATTTAACCTGCTGCCTACAGATACATCTGGACACATGGATTAGTAAACACCATCCTCAGACCACAGGGAGATTAAATTTGTCTTTGAAAGAGAGATGAGGTTCTCTTCTTACTGTCCAGGAATGTCATGATAAATACTCCTGTCTCACCAAAGTCAGGATGGCTGTGTTGTGCAGGGATGAGGTAGAACCGTGATTGCCCTTTTCTCCTGGAAGCAAGAACTGGGTCATTTTCTAATACCTCAATGCAGAGAACTGACAGTTAAATTGGATTTAATCACCCATGCCTTGAGGGCCCTTGTCCTGAAGTATGTTTCCGTGTTATTTTAAGTGTTCAGAACCAAGAGTATTTTCCAGAGGAGCTCTGGGGTGGTCAGCAGTGCCTGCAGCGGTGCTCCATGGCCACCCCACAGCCCGGTGCTGGAGGGCAGGTTCTGTACCTCGAGTCAGCTGCGGCTGAGCCTTGCGGTGCGTGCAGAGCAGGGAGAGCTCTGCAGGGACAATATATTTTGAGAGTGCCTCACTGTCAGCTTTCGCCTTCCCAGCTTCGCTGCCGTGTGCCTCTGCAAAACCTCCCCGAGCCCAGCCGGCTGTGGCCAGCCCTTCCTCCGGGCTCCCTGCATTTCCACACCGCTTCTGCCCTTGCCTTCGCTGCCTGCTCCTCGCTGCATTTTACCTCCTCTCCCCTTCCCCGCGTTTTCCCCCTCTTCCTATCGTTTTATTGCGATATAACCTCGGCAATCCCAACTTGTGGGCCAAACTTCCCTGCCCCGGCGGGAGACCCGGCCAGGCCCGGCGGCTTGGGGTGCTGCCCACCTCCCGGCAGGAGCACAGCGCCTCGAGGAGCTGCCCCCTTCAACAGGTAGGGAGCAGCCAGCCCTGCTCTGCTCATCCTCCTGCGCCGAGAGGATGGCGGTGCTCTGAGGCCGGGGCTGGGCGGAGGAGCCCGGAGCATCCATCGCTCGGCGAGGTGGCCCCGAAGCGGGGCAAGAGCCAGCGACCCATCCCCGCTGC